ATGTTACCTGAACTATTTCTAGCTCCCAAAAGGACATTTATTATAATGGTGGGAAGTGGAGTTGGCTATTCTACTTCTAGCAATATCCTGATAACATAAATCATGTGAAAAATCATGTAAAAAAAGCATGTCATGATATTTTATGTCATCTTAAACTATGAATGGGTCAAAAGATAAATAATTTAACGTGTTCCCTATTTTCTAAATTTAGATATATTTAAAAACCAAATTTCATACATGTACATTACTGTACATATTATGTCCAACATTAAGATATAATATAGTTTTGAAAAAAAAAAAAAAAAAAAAAAATACAGATGTTAAGCAAAAATTGAGTGATACTCTTCCACAAAAATGTACTGTTATTTGATTTTACTAGTAAAAATGGCAATCTTTTGGGGTAATTTAACATAAAATTTATTCAGATATTTTACAGAAAGAATAACAGAAAATTAAGTACAAAAAACTATGTTTTTTTATTTTGTTTTGCTTATGTCAGTTGAAAAGGTTATTAATAAAACAACTCACTATAAGTTTGAATGGCATCTACTTCAAAGCAAAAGTAAAATCTACTTGAAAAATCTAAAGTGATATCTAAAGTGATGCATATGCTGATATTTGAGAAATATCAAATAAAAAGTTGACTGAGAATACAAGAGTTTGCAAAGCATGTGACCAGAGACATAATATCATGAAGGTTGTGGAATGGAATTTGGTTTAAAGTCTCCTTAACGCAGATCTTTGGTCAGTTTGACTAACATGTGATAAGTTTCATTTCTATGGTTATTTGTGCAATGCTATATTGAGAATTTTGCCAGAACAGGTAGGTTTCCGACGACGTTTTTTTCATATTCCTACTGCCAAGGGTTCTGCTACCTTTTGCCTCTACAGAAACTTGAACCCTGACCTTATCTAATCTGTTGCCCTAAAAACATGACTGCCTCAAAGCCTATTCAGGATAAAACAAAAATGTAAGATGTTCATTTGGTATTAAATTGAGAAAAAAATTACTGCAAAAGTTCAACTTCATATTTATAAGTTCTATAAAACAATAGTAGTGCAGTTTTATTTGTGAAATACAGTAGACAAACGTTGCAAGATCGTGTGTCCGCATAGTGCTGTGCTCTCTACCGATCTGGTGAGAATGATTGTACGACTTCTTTCAATGTTATAACTCCTTCCGGCCTTTCTTGAGCAAACGTCAAATCGATAGCGATCAAATCTGTACTAAACTGATCTCATTAGCGTAATAGTGACGTTGACCTACAACATTTTACTAGCCATTAGATTCAATGATAGATAAAATAATCATCTATCTCTTTTTACTCTTGATTATCTACATGCAGCGGGCGGGCATCAAGTTATCAGATGCGTGGTGTATTTATATACTGGTATAGAAATAATGAACAGTCAGCGTGAATATGAGTGAAAGTGCTAAATACACATTAAATTATTTCTACTCATTGTTTTAACCTCTATGGACTGATTACAATAGGTACGAGAGGTTAAATGGCATTTCACAGCTTTGACAACTGAACCAGATTTATTTGATGTAATTTTTGTACTGTATGGCCCAAATAGATATCTCATTTATACAAATGTTTTAAATTTTTAATTCATATTTGAAAAGAAAATGAATTTGTCTAGAATATTTGGTATCTCATTTGTACAAATCTTTTGAAATTTGAAATTCGTAGTTGAACTTGAATTTGTCTAAAATATTTGAATTTTTCTAGAATATTTGATGTATACATTATGAAATTTCTTATCAATGGTTTTGAAGGAAGGTTCTGGTCATAGGCTTTATCTGAGGTATAAGAATAGATCATTTCTGATTATTTAAAAAATATAAATTGACATATTTGACTAGGCGTGTGCCCAAAGCATAAAGCTGAAGGTTAAACATGTGTCATTATTTCCGTGAAAGGGATAAGTTAGTAATTTTTAGGCCTATGCAGTAATGTTTTGGAATTTGAACAATAATTGATGCACACTTTCTTAAATTTGTCTTTTTTTGTGTTTTGATATGTTTTTGTCTGCTTTTATTTGTATGTACAACAACACTTGTTTATTTAAGGGTTACTTTTTATTTTCTTTGATTTACAAATGACACTGTCATTGTCGTAGGTCGGGGAAACCCCCCTATGCATGATGGTCTAAGGAACGGCATAGGTTTAAGGTGTATTTAGATATAGTTTAACATGGTGATGTGTGTATTTAACAGTTGTCAATCTGTGTGCCACGCCTGCCTCGTTGACTATTTGGCTTTGATTTAAACCAGGTAGAACAAGGTGTGTAACAAAACAGGTGGGAGTGGGAGTATTGACTCCGGTGTCGTTACTGTTTTTACCTCCCTTCTTTGTTAGCTCTTACTTTCTCCTCCCTTTCTCACCCAAGAATCATTTCTCAAAGTAAATTAAATCATGTTAATTATTTAAATGATTTTGTTTGATTTTTTCTTGTTCGAAAAAAGAAATTACTTATGATAAAATGCAAATCATTAAAGTTTTGCTTTAATGAAATACTATTCTCCAAACTTCAACTGTCAAAGGAATCTTTTACAAGCACGATCATTGTGTGCAAAGAATTGTGTTTTCCATTCCATCAAAAGGCAAATTGGGGGTTGGGTGGCCAAATTGTTAACACGTCTGCGTTGCATCATAAGGTCTGTCACTGAGTCAAGTGGTGAAGTTTCGATTCCCCGTTTGTATGTGACAACCTCGTAGGTTTTCTCCGGGTCCTCTGGTTTCCTCCCACTACTAAAAGTCCCCTACTTACAAGCAAATTATTGAAATAAAATTGAACCATATGTTAGTCACATAAGGGGGTTGGGTGGCTGAATGGTTATTGCATGTGCGTTGCATCAAAAGGTTTGTCATTGAGTCAAGTGGCATGGTTTCGATTCCTTGCTTGTGCATGACAAGGAGTAGGGTCACAACCTCATGGGTTTTCTCGGGGTCCTCCAGTTTCCTCCACTACTAAAAGACTCCTATGCGCAAGCGAATTATTGAAATAAAATTGAACCATCTATTAGTCATATTAGTGGGGTTGGGTGGCCAAATGGTTAGCACGTGCATGTTGTATCATAAGGTCTGTCATTGAGTCAAGTGGCATGGTTTTGATTCCCCACTTGTACATGACTCGGAGTAGGGTCACCTGTCCAACCTCATGGGTTTTCTTTGGGTCCACCAGTTTTCTCCCACTGCTAAAAGACCCCTATGCGCAAGCATGTTAGTGCCGAAATGACCTAGTTTGTGTTGAGTTGGTATTAAACCCTATTTCTGTCTCTCTCTTCTTAGTATGTAAAAATAAACAAAAGAATGTTCACATCTGTAAAAAAAATCAATAACGCATGTACATTAAGTCAATATATTTTATTGTACAACATAACATGTGTATTAAACGACTAAATATTTTAATGTGTAGACAATATTGGTGAAATATTTGAATATATGTAGACAATAATGGTGACATATTTTAATATACAGATAATAATAAAAAAAATACAAAAAATTCCTTAGCAAGATAAAAGTGTCTAGTTGTTTTGATGGTACAAAACACCATGGTGAACATAAAAGAACCGTTTGAAGACAGTTTGAATTCTGTGACAGAAATGCTGCTGTTAAGGCAAAAATTTAATTCATAGCACATGGCATTAGTCTGATTGGTACAGAATAGTAGGACTGATATCAACGTTGGACTGAATCTTATTTTTCACCCCATCCAAAAGACTAAACACATTTCCCTTTTTAACTCCAAATGAGTTGGCTAAGATTACTCGGAACCAGGTAGGGTTGTCTGCCGCATGGTGGTTCGTTCGTTCGTTAGTGGCTGTTAACGTCTATTTCCACCAAGGGTGATAACACAGGCAAATGTTACCTAGTAAACTTTCTAGAAGAACCATTCAAGATTGAGAGGCAAGTCCAGTGTAATGTAGGCATGGGGTAATGAACAACGAAATACGTGGCCCCCATCACTGTAGCTAGAGGCGCAGTGTGCCCTTTGGGAAACTGTTTCTTATGGAACCTTGGACTACATCAGGGAAAGGATCTGACAAGGTTCCACTAGAAAGTTACATGATTATACTATTTAAAGAATGTTTTGTAGAATGATAATATTACAAATGTTTTCAAAGACTAAAATGCATTTAGGATCCAGCTTCCTTCCTCACTAATGTATACTTTAACTTTGTGAATTAATATAGTATACGAAATTAATGTTAAAAGATAACAGCAGATGTAGAATTAATATAATGTCAACATATAATAATGTCATTATTTACATAAAATTTGTTCAATAATGATGTAAATATCTCGGAAGAAATAATGATGAGAAAATACAGCCGTTTATAGCATATTAAGACAAAAGTTCTTATTTGAAATATGACAGAAAAAAAAACATAATACGTTTGAAATACATTAAAAAATAAATATAAAAAGGATATCTCATGTAAAAATGACAATAATGACATAAAAATAACATGCAGTAAAGTTGAAAATATATGGTACACAGTGAATTAGTTATTAGTTTAACAGCAAATATATAAAGCCACACATAACACTGTATAAATCATGGTAAAACTGATTAAGCCCTCGGGATATCCAGGTTTGAAAAAATGTGTGCATTTTTTAGTTGGTTTACATCTGTGCAGAAAGCGTAATGTACAATTTAGCTATAACTAACATCAGGTGACTTCCACTGCACTATTTTCTGCTATTTTATGCAAGAACTGTCACAGCAATTAGATTAAGCCTTCTCGTAGCCACTCTATATTCTTAAGAAGCAAAGACAATAAAAGAAAATTGATCTTGCACCACCACACTGCATTTTATATGCATCCAGCGGACAAACGCGAGAGTGAGAGAGTTATGTCACAGTGACATTTTTTTGAGTATTACGTAATCAGTTAGGGAAGAGAAGCCAGTAGTTATTGGAGGGGTGGAGTGATATAGGCAAGGACTGTATTTTTTACTACACAGTTTTTTATGTGTATGTTGCAGGGATCGGAAGGGGTGATGTCGGCAACAGGACCTAACAGTAATGCAGGTAAGTGATTTCTCTTACGTCATTTCATACTCAAATATTTTTTTTTATGAGAAAGCATGTCGACACATAAAGGTCACTTGCTTTTGTGAATTGTAGTGTAACGTAGGTTGTAGATCCAAGTCTCTCTCTCGTAATAGTATGGCGAGTGATTGGATCTCTGAAACTACTGCACCTGCATTTGTAAGCAAATTTAATTGCAACTGGCCTGCACATGCGCTAAAATAAGATTTAAAATGCCTTTACGATTGATTTGGTTGAAGAATGAAGTACAGCAACAATGGGTGAGTTAATTTTGATAATAACGGGCCGGTTTCTATGGAGTATTAACAGATTTAGGTTAACTACTGATAAGAATTATGTCACTCGGGCTATAAATAAAGTGTTTTCATTTGAGGTTCAATGTTACATGTATTTGACAGTGGTTGGGTTAGAGCAGAGGAGGTCATATGAAGCAGGTTTTTTTTTCTCTGCCTCAGGTCACTGAATCCACTAGTACATATTATGTGATACAGTACCAGCCATATTTTATTGAAAGCATATCATGTGTAAATATTTACTAAGCTTTTTAACGGCTTTAGAAATATCTGGGTGAATTTTCGGCTGTCTGACTGGCTGATAGAGGGGAGTGTTATTGTATGTAGGCTGGCATATCACCCTGCTCACGAATAAACAGTCAAACTGCATGGTAAAAATAGTCTAGACATACATGTAGTAGTGTTTTCACATTGTTTAGTCGGTTACGTGACCCTACTTTCCTTGGATCTATAAATATTTGATTTTTAAATTACTCATAAGACCACCGAAGCTTTTACTATACATTAATTTGATAAAATTATAAAGTAAGAAATAAGTATGCATAGTTCAAAAATTAGAATTTGGGCCAAGAGTTCGAAGAAAAAAAAAATGTCACTATTGATTTCTTTATATGTTGAAAATGATAAATGTTAGTAGAACATGTCAGTTTTGATGAATTGATAAAAAAAAAAGGATTGAACAAAAAAAAAAAAAATAGCCCCACCCCCTCCTCCAATTTCATGTATTGTACATTTATATATAACACATCACACCTCTAATATTTATGATTTTGAATTAAAATTCTCTCTGTATAAAAAATAAATTTTAAAAGTTTCTTTTTCTTGTATCTCATATGATTTAGTAGCAAAATCCAAATTCAGTAACTGGTTTTTGGCTGCTATGCAGAATAACTAAAAACAGAAAACTATTCAATAAAAAAAAGAAAAGAAAATTAGTCAGAACAGAAAATAGTATATTTGTGAATATTTGCCAAAGCGTTCACAAATCTTTTTTTTTTTGCTCACAGAAACGATACTGACAAAAACGGAACGAAAAATGTCTCTTCGCTTACATGTGAACAAACAAACTTAATCTGGCTTAAGATGGGTTGACAACTTCTTTTAATTAATCCATTCACTTCAATCATCAACAAATGAATTAACCTGAAAAATCTGTTTGATCTCCATCTAACTTCTGTCAATTTCAATGCAATTTTTTTTCCTAAAAGGAATTTAAAGGATTGAACATTTTAAGAATAGAGATTTTACAAATGACTTTTTGCTTGATTGATCAAGTTGAATATACCAAACACCAAATACTGTATGAATTTTTGCTATAAATTAAATTAGTGTGTTTTGGAAGAAATCGCTGTGTATTTGTTTATGCAGTTTAAGAGAGCAAGGTTATTGTATTTTTCTGGGTTTTTTTTTATGCATTTGGCAATTGTAGGCTATGTTTAGTGGAATAAGATCTGCGGGAGTAAGAATATTATTTATCTTGGTTCAAAACCTGCTTTTTAGCATAGCTCTGACTTTTTACATATATTTTTGTTGCCAAGATTCAACAAAAGATTAACCTAAGGTCCTGTTAAAGTTCATGATAGCCTACAAGAAACTGTTAAGATAATTCGTACAGTTAATAGCAAAAAAACAACATTTATTTTAAACTGTTAACTGCATAAAAACATTTGTTCTAAACTGTTAACCAGCTTAAAAAAATCATTATGCAATTAAAAAATGTACCACACAGAAATAAATTCTTGCATTTGGAGAGTTTTTGAAACTGAATATTATGGAATGTTCTCTTATTCTTGGATTTCCAGGCACTGAACAACCAAAGCTTTTGAATCTAAATATTGATAAGATGATTTCTTGGTTTGGAAATTCCTTTTTTTACTTCTTTCTTCAGTTTGTATCACTTCTGTGCTCTTTTCCTTAGTTTTTGTTTATCAGAAAAAAAAGTTGATAAATATATGATATACTCCCTTTTTTTCTTTCTTACAGTTATATAATTTTTTTCGATTGTCAACTAAAAGATGTTATCTTTAAAATTGAAACTGGAAAAGTATTTATTTTAGAAAAAAATGTATTTACAATGAAATATGAATGAGATATTTTATGAATTAGCATACATTCTTGACACAATACACAACTGATTCTAGAAGTGGAAGGGATCAACTGAATCCAGGAGTAACTTGATCTTTTGAACTGATACTGTAGTGAAATACCAGTAGCTGATGTACATAAGATATTTTGGAATTTAAAAATGATTTAGGCACTGGTTGTATTGGATAAAACTTTTTTTATTTAGCTTTATTTTTTTAACATATTAAGACATTGATATTTCTTTGCATAGACTTAGATTGCATCAATTTGTACTCAAATTTGGAGAAATCATTAACTTTATGAATTAAGATTAAATAAATTTCCACAATTCAAATGTTAAATGTTTCATTGAATAGAAAGGTAATATTAACATTTAACTAAAAATGAAACACTTTGCAAAAAATTCACTTGGTTTACCAAAATATCGCCCCCGCCATGAAAGTATGATGTAGATACGAAGTTATATCGCCATCACATTTTTTATCCTTGATGATTATTTAACTTTTTTAAAAAATAAATTTTTTCACTTATTCATTGTCAGTTGTAGACAACACCCATTACTGAACCAAAGGTTATTCAATTTACTCAACCCATCGTTTTTATCTGCTTTCCACGAATTTTTTTTGCCTTAGTTTTATGTATGAAATTTTACACTCCTAAATTGTGAGAAGATAGAAAGTAATTGACAAGTCAAAAATACCGTCTAACAAACACAGGAATTGCATAAGACAAAAACAAGTTCCTAAATATAGATATGAATGATGATGTCACCGTTCATGTGACATCATGATTTTACATGAAAGTTGTGTAATTTGGTTTGAATTCTGTTGAATTATGATTAAATTTTTATAATAAAGCAGGGCCTTTTTTAACGTACCTCTCGATAAAAAATCTGTGCTTTGAAGATCTGAAATGTGTGCTTTTAAAAATGTTATGTATCCTTGTAAAACTGGGAAGATTGTATCGGGAAACATAGCTATCATTATGATCATCAACCACTTTCGATTTCTGTTTCAAAACTTTTGTATTGTGACGTATTCCCACCAACACCTAAAGCATGAAGATAATATAGCAGAACAATCGTCAGGTGCAGATGACAGTGAAGATTCGTTTGCCTTCGGATGTTTCTTTGGATTGTTAATGATACTGACACTAGGTTGTAAATAAAAATATGTTAATTCTGTTATATTTTGGTTATAAAGGTGTAAGTCTAATATCGTGATATCAGAAGTCAAATTCTGGAAATTTTTCATGGAACCCCAAAACACAGAAAACCATGAAAACCTTAAAATAGGCCCAGTAATAAGGGCATTTAAATCTTAAGATTTTATCCTTTTGTATTTCCAGCTATCTCGAATCCGTTTCATGCCATTTTTTTCCCCTTGTCTTCTTATGATTGGTTGGTGCAGAAAAGCAGGATGTTAAACCACATGTATTTTCATTTCATTTTTTATGCTTTTCAATTAAATAGAAGTATAAATATTTTTTATGCTTTTCAATTAAATAGTAGTATACCTATTTTTTGCTACATGAAAATCATCTATATTATTTTATCTACAGGCAATACAGTCATATATTTCATAACTCGTTTATCATCTTTTACACTGAAACAGAACTAAAATTCACTTGGTAACAGATGCAATACATGGATAGATTGGAAAACAACTGCTATTAAATTTCAAAACTTGCGTATTTAGAAAGCCAAAAACTTCCCAATGAGCGTAACTATTCTTGTTCTTCTTTTAAAATAATATCAAAAAGCAATCTACTGTATTCTTTTTTTATCAAAGTCCCACTTTTCTTAGTAATTCAGATGACAAATGGTCGTTAACCAAACCTGTCATCCATGGGTGAAAAAAATGGAAAAATTAGTATAATAATTTAAAAGTTGTTCAACCACAGAGAGTGATGTATTCTGATGTTTTCTGTGCAGAATGATAATAAATGGAAAGATGTATCGTATTCTACCTAATTGTTGTGCTATGTAGGTGTCAAGTCCAGCCTCTTTATCAGTTTTTGTTTGCGATGACATTATTTACGGAGAAACATATGTTACAAAACGGCTCATCAGTTGATGATTTCTCTGTTTGCTGGAAAAGTTTTTTCGGCAGTTTATGTAATTTAAAACGTTCATCTGAAAAATAAAAAAAAATAGGTACGTGTGGTTATTTTGTGCTTGATGTGAAATTAATCTGGAGAAATGATTAGCTATGCAGTTAAGGGTGATAACGTTTCTCTTGATAATTTAGATTAAATAGTCAGAAATAGATAAAATTACCTTCAATAATACATTTTTTATTCGGGATAAAAGATATACATTTAATTATTAAAGGATTTAAATTTTAAAATTAGTAATTTAATGTCGTTTAACTTTTTTATATCAATTCAATACATCTCCTTCAGAAGGTTAATTTATCTTATGTCTTTAATCAAAAATTCACTGACCATCTTTTATGTAAATGGCGTAACAAAAGTTATTGTCTCGGTTGCAAAAAGCTAAAATTGTTTTTTTTTGGAACTCTCCATGGTAATGAAACAAACCAATTCCCATTGAATGACAATTTCAGTTGGCATATGAATTTTCTAGTACATACTCTAGAA